TTCCCCCTTAGATCCTCATACACCTTTTACTAGTTATCTATTTCTACAATTATGGTTTTATACATTATTTGTCCTTACTGGACTGAATTAGTGCACTTAGCATAAGGCTCTCCAGTTCCTCCCAAGTTAGGTAGTGATTTACAATATCATTGCTCAGGTATGCTGCATAGTATTTCATCGTGTGAATCCATTCAATAGTGGTTGGACATTTGGACTGTTTCCATGTTCTAGCAATGGTGAAAAGTCTCTATTTGAGCCTCCTTTCTTATTTTCTTAAGAAGAATACAGGATTTTTATATAAATTTTTTAAATTGCATCTTTTAGGTCAGTGTCATTAATTTAAAGATGAAGAAATGCAAGCCATTTCAAATTTTAAAAAGATGATCACCTCAGAGAAGGCCTTTTTCTGAAGTATCTTTTAAGGACAGAAGTGGACTATTACAAAAGCAGACTCTAGTGTAGTGTATTGTTGTTATGTGCCATCAAGCCAACTGTGACTCATAGAGACGTTATGCACAATAGCTCTGAACCCTACTCCATCCTGAGCCAATCTCACTGTCTCTGACACACTGACCCTCACATCCCAGTTATTGTATCAATCCATCTCATCTGGGGTCTTCATCTCTTGCACTGTCGACCTTTCCAATCATGATATCCTTCTCCAAAGACTGCTATCTCCTGGCTACATGCCCAAAGTGTGTGAGACATAGTTTCAAATTCTTGCCTCCAGGGAGCATCTTGATTTCGCCTTCTCCAGAAAAGATCTGTTAGTTCTCTTGCCAGTCCATAGTATGTTCAATACTCTTCTACTGCACCACAACTCAAAAGCATAAATTCTTCTGTTATCTTTGGCCATTGTCCAGCTCTCTGGTGCATAGCAAGTCATTGCAAAGACCATGGCCTGGGTTAGGCACACCTTAGTCACTAAAGTGGCATCCTTGCTTCAGCACTCTGCAGAGGTTGCTGACAATAGATTTTACCTGCCACTGGATTGAAAACAAGACCTGATTTTCTTTTTAATATTGCTGAGTAAGTGTATCTACTGATTGGAGTAAGCTACAGAAAGGGGATTTGTTGGTGGCTGGAAGCTAATTAACATGATTCGGCCTCATGCATTCTGAAGTAGCTGATTAACATCAGTCTACAATGTGCACTCGAAGACAAAAGCAGTACTTCCTCCCCATCAAGGGGGCAGTAAGAGGATCTGTTGTCACTGCACAGAGCCAACACATTAGGAAGAGAGCATGAGTGTGCTTCCTTGTGGTTCAGCTAGTTTAGGTCCATGTGCCCAAAGATCCCAAGCCCCAGTCAAGACACAGATTCACACCCTCCTCGAGTTAGGAGACTACTGAGACACATTAGTGGGAGAATTGGCCTCATGGCTAAGACCACAGGAGCCTATCCCATGAATATTAATTATATCAGCATGATGTTGATTGTTGACCTAGTGAAGATTTTGGGGGTTTTGATGTGGAAATATAACCCATATTGAAGGTTTTAGTCACTGATCTGCAGCAAGTGCTTCAAGTCATTTTTGGTGAGCAAATATGTGTCATCTATATTACACAGGTTGTTGATGAGTCTTCCTCCAATCCAGTTGATAGGTTCTTCTTCATAAAGGGTAGCTTTTCAAATGCTTTGTTCAGCATACAGATTAAATAGCATACTAATTGGAAAAGATCCAGATTGATTTCTATTCCCAAAAGAGGTGATTCAGCAGAATGTGGAAATTTTTGAAGAATATAATTGATATCACATGCAAGCAAAATATTGCTGATGATTATTCAAAAGCACCTGCAACAGAACATCAATAGAGAACTGCCAGAAATTTGAGGTGGATTTAGAAGAGGCTGTGGCATCAGGGATATCATTGCAAGAGGATCTTGGCAGAAAAAAATACCAGAATGATGTCTATTTGGGTTTTGTTGTCTATGCAAAAACATTTGACTAAGTGAATCACAACAAATTATGGCTAACAGTAAGAAGATTGGGAATCCCAGAACACTTAATTGTATTCATGCAAAACCTATACCTAGATCAAGAAGAGGCTTTTGTCTGAACAGAGTAAGAGAACACTGCATAGTTTAAAATAAACAAAAGTGTATGTACATCAGAGTTATGTCTTTTCCTCACACCTATTCAATCTGTATGCTGAACAATAATTTCCATAGGTGTTCTAAAACCCAAGATTCAATGTTGCTGTTGTAATGCAATGCTAAGTTGGTATCAGCTCATAGCTGACACTTCATTGTGTTTTCAGAGGCTCTAAATCATACAAGAAGGGATTGCCCAATTTTCTCCAGAGAAAAGCAATTGGTGAATTTGAATCCCCGGCCTTTGAGTTGGCAGCACAACTCCTTACCACTAAACCACCAGAGCTGGTATTATTATACAAATATTTTATCATTATATATTAATAAAATAAAATCATTGTTGTTGTTAAGTGTCATTGAGTCATAGGCAACCCTATGAAAGAAAGTCCCAGACACTTGCAGGATTTTCATCCTTTCTCCAGGTTCATAGGGTTTCCAGAGGCAAGCTATTTAGGGAAGTGGCTGCCACTCCTGCTTCTAAGCTTGTGTTAATCGGGGAGCTCCACCAAACACTGTCCACCATGAGTAACCATTATCGCATTTGACACATCAGTGTCACAGTGTTCAGCTTCACAGCAACCATGAGTTACTCTGTATGGCAAGTGTACACACCAGGGCTATACGACCTAGAAGAATGTTTGACCAACAACAATTTAAAACAGGCCTGAGGGCCACGGATTAGAGTCACCCACCATTTGGCTTAGTAGCAACACTTTTGGTCCACTAGGCCAACTGGTCTCTCCCTATGTTGTTAAGGGCCATCGAGTCGTAGGCAACTCATAGCAACTCCATGAACGAAAGTCCTTGACATTTGCATGACTTTCATCCTTTCTCCAGGTTCATAGGGTTTCCAGAATAATATATTCTTATTTATTATAATATAATAATTATTATATATTGATATTTCTTGAGTACGCCATAATAAATCTGTTGGACTAATACATTAACCAACATTACGTTACGTTACGTTACGTTACGTTACGTTACGTTACGTTAATCTAACCTGGATTGGCAATTGACAAGATTTTTTTTTTTTCTAAAAAATGAGAGAGGACGACCCTCAATGAGATGAATTGAAACAGTGGCTGTAGCAATGGGCTCAAGTATGTCAGTGATAATGAGGATAGCTCAGGAGGGGACACTTTTTAGATCTGTTGCTCAATAGTTGTGTGTGTGTGTGTGTGTGTGTGTGTGTGTGTGTGTGTGTTATTCTTGTATACTATCACATCAGAACCAACCCATAGTTGACCCTCTGGTGGGTTTTCAGAGGCAGTTAATTGTACTGGAGGAGACTGAACTGTGTGCCTTCAGGATTGCAGCACGACTTCTTGCCATTTTTTGTGATAAGAAGAACAAGCATGGTTCTAAAATGGGCTCCAAATCTCCTTCCTGATGGACATCATTGTCACTTCTTCTTGTATCATCAAGTTGGTCTGAGCCTTATATCTGGCTGCACTGCAACCAGTTTTCTTCTGTCTTGTTCACAGGACACCCAAGCCTTTCTTACAGAGTGGTCTTTCCTTCTGTCCCTTCTTGGGAAGGTGAACTTTCAGAAAGAGTTAACTCTCCTCTCTGACCCAGAGTCTCTGCTTCTCTGCCCTGGAAATGATGCTGACACTCCAGAGAACTTCACCTGGAATTGTCGCTGCCTTACCATATGTATGTATACATACACACACACACACACACATACATGTACACATATCTCTATCTATATCATCTACATCTATATCTATCTATACCTATATCTATACATACACACAACACATACATACATATAAGCTCTGGTAGCCCAGTGGCAAGGAGTTATACTACAGACCTAAAGGCACACAGTTCAAATCCACCACTTGCTCTGCTGGAGATAGATAGGCAATCTCCTCCTATATAATTTGTAGCCTCTGAAAACTCACTGCACGGTTAGCTATGAACTGGTTCTGGCTCGATGACACATAACAACAACATATATAGATATTAGCCTGTTTCATGAGGAAATTTCTGCTCACCCAAAAGCAGTGCCTCTCTCATAGTTCAAATCCACCAGCTTTTCCAAGGAAGGAAAATATAGGCAATCTTCTCCCATGTGATTTTCAGCCTTCTGAAAACTCACCAGAAAGTTGGCTGTGAGTCAGTTCCAACTTGATGGCAATGAGAATTTGAGATTATATAAAAAAATTTAAATATGTTTTCATTTGGTTGCATTCAAATTAGATGTGACTATAATAAGGGAGTCCCAAGCCCCAGAAGATGTAAGCTCAGCAATAACAGGAAGCCTGTTTAGCAGGCTTGATACAAGGGAAATAGAAGTTCAGCAATAAAGAATGAAAATCAGTCCAGTAGCTCGGGTTGGAGTCCCAGTAACTAAATGAGGACATTTTATCTAATATATGACTTTTCTCCCTGTGTAATTAACTGGTTTATAAGCCCCTTTGCCCAAAATGCTTAACTAACCCATCGTAATGTGTGTAAAAATTAGCCAATAGAAAAGAGACCCCAAACAATGTCTTGTAAGCCTATATAAAGAGAGAACATTTTCCCTTCAGGGAGCCTGAACCTTGAGAGACTCTGGTCTCTGTCAGAGCTTCCCGCAGAAAAATTAAGTCTTTCTTGTTTTACCAAAAGAGATTATAGCATTGTTCTTTCACCTGGAGTCGCTGGATGGGAGGTTGAATTTCTGCCACAACTTTTCTCAGGATAAAGAATAGAAAACGTAAAATTAATTTTTATTAGAGATCAAACCAACTTTATTTCATTAAGAGAAGTCAGAACTGGATCTTGAAGGATGGGGACAATTTTAAGAGATTCAATCAGGGTAAAGACACTCATTGTTAAAGAAGGGGTGGATGGTAGCCCAAAGGCCAAAAAGTTGTTTTTTCAGTAGATTAAAGAATCTCCCTTATTACTCTTTCTTCAGACCGGAATGAAACAAAGTTCGTAGAAACGTGGTATAGAACCAAAATTCTTGTTAACTGGAGTGATGTCAATGTCCTTTGGGTCAACTAGAGATTTCAAGGTAAAGTTCTGCAAAATGTTGGTCAGAATTAAAAACAGCTCCATGCGGGCCAGGCCTTCTCCAGCACAGACTCTTTTTCCTGAAAATGACACAGAAATGGCATGAATTATTTAATCAGACACCCAAGTTAGCACACGGGATACCTAAAATACTGAAATCAATTAATCTCTGGCTTCTTCTACATACCTGCAAAGCTAGTTTCCTTTATTTATGCAGCATAAATTTAATCTGCAAACTATGTGAGAAATGTTTCTTTAAACACACAGTAGAACTGCGATGTTGAGCCTCGTCAGTAGAATCTTGCTGTAGATACAACTATTACCATTATCTGTACTACTTTACTCCTCTATCTACCTTTGGCCCAATACTCAACAATAGATTTATTTCTCCTGATTTGGATTCTAAAATATAATCTCAGCTCTTATTTCCCTTAAGGTAACTTTAAGAGGTTACCATTGCCAGGCACAAAAGGTATGTTTAAAAAAATAAAATTACAGCAGATAGCACTTTTCAGAGCCTCTTTGATATATTTTCCGTCCAATTACCCTAAGCCCCAGTCAACACTGGCCATTAGCTTATCATCAAATAGACTGATGCATCCAGTTTTGATTGTAGTCATTTCTCGGCTATGAATGACATTCACCTCTCCTGCTGTTCTCTATGTTCTTCCAGATCCAACTCAAACATCATTTACTCTATGCTTTGACTTACTCAGGATGTATAAGTCTGTGTTTCACAATATAAAAAAAAGAAATCTTTCTAAACTTTTGCTCAAGAGAAAAATGCCTATATAAAACCCAGGTTTAGATATTTTCAGTGGAATTCCATTACCCTTTCCATAGATGTTTATTTGGGTTTTGTTTGTTTGTTTTAATTTGGTGGTTGTTGTTAGGTCCTGTTAAGTCAGTTCGAACTCAGAGAACCTGTGTATAACAGAACAAAACTCTGTCACGTCGTGTGTCATTTGTAGAACTGTTGCTATGCTTGAGCTGATTGCTGTAGCCATTGTCAATCCAGGATTTTCTACATTTTTTTTCTGACCCATGAAAACCATAAATAAGGGATTGCATTCTTTGTGATCAAACTAGGATTTAAATCATGGATTTGGGGATTGTGTCCCTAAAAAATACATGTATACACATTTGGATCATGATTATCAATGGTTCAGCAACCACATAATGATGTCCTGTAACAGTTATGCAAGTACTCCCTCATGATAAGAACTGATGTGATAAGCATATTTGTTTTAAAAGGACTAAGAGTCAATCACAACAAACTGTGGCTGATGCTGAGAAGAATGGGACTCCTAGAACACTTGATGGTGCTTATGTGAAACCTATATTTGGACCAGGAGGCAGTTGTCAGAACAGAACAAGGAAACACTGCATGGTTCAAACTTGGGAAGGGTGTGCACCAAGAATGTGTCCTATCTGCATACCCTTTCCATCTATATGCAGAACAGATTATCTGGGAGGCTGGGCTCTATGAGGAGGAAAGTGGCATCAGGATTGGAGGAAGATTCATCAACAATGTGCATTATGCAGATGACACAACACTGCTTGCTGAAACTGAGGAGGACCTGAAGCACTTGCTGTAAAAGGATTCAATATGGATTGAAGCTCAACATCAAGAAAACAAAAATTCTCACCACTGGGTCGACTGGCAGCATCATGATAGATGGTGAAAGAGACTGAGATTGTTAACAGCTTCAGTTTGCTTGGCTCTATAATCAACACTGTTGGTATCAGCAGCCAGGAAACTAAAAGACTAATTGCATTGGCAAAGTCTGCTGTCAGAGACCTTTCCAAAGTACTAAAGAACAACTATGTTCATCTGGAGATTAAAGTGTGGCTGAGATAAGCCATAATCTTTGCTATTACTTGTTATGCACCAGAAAAAACTGGACAATGGCTAGGGATGATAGAAGGAGAATTGATGCCTCTGAGCTGTGAGAAGAGTATTGAATATACCATGGACTGCTAGGAGAACAAACAAGTTCATCCTGGAGAGGGTGAAGCCAGGCTGCCACTTGGAGGCAAGGATTCTAAAGCTTCATCTGACATGCTTTGGAAATGTATATGGTGGGACCAGTCCTTGGAGAGGGATGTCATGCTTTGGAGGGTGGAGGAACAGCGCAGGAGAGGAAGACCCTCAATGAGATGGATTGATTCAGTGACTGGGGTAATGGGGATAAGTGTGTCAGAGACAGTGACATTGGCACAGGATAGAGCAGGATTTCGGGCTGTTGTACATAGGTTCGCTATGAGTTACAGGCAACTCGATGGTATATAACAACAACAATAAGAGTAGAATAAGGAAGGTCCTAAATTCTGTCACAGCCTCGATGTAATTTAAAGAGTATGGTCTGCCATACCCTTTATCTTGCAGAAAATAAAAGGATAGAGAAGTGAGCAGAGAGAGGGGCCTGTATACCACCAAAAAAGAAGAGTCTAGAGAAGAAAGAATACATTCTTCAGAGCTAGGTCCCTGAAACGGGATCCTTCTCAACACAGGGAAAGACCAAAACATATGTAAACCTCCAAGGAACACTGGAGCCACAGAGGTTGAAAGACAACAACCTTCCCCCAGGTCCAACAGAAACCTTTCCATTAGAATTGGTGATATGAATTTGGACTTCCAGTCTCCTAAACTATGAAAGAACAAATTCTGTTTGGTAAAGCCATCACTTGTGGTAGTTTTGTTGTTATGTGTAATTGAGTCAGAACTGACTCATAGATGATCTGCCAGCAGGTTTTCAGAGGGTTCAAATTGCAACAGGAGATTTCCCATATTTCTCCTGAGGGGCAGTTGGTGGATTTGGACCATCTACATTTGGGGTGGGCAGTGCAACTCCTTACCCACTAGACCGTCAGGTTTCCCAGTTCAGTAGTTAGAGCAACATTACTAAGGCAATGTAAAAGTAGTACATCTCAAGAAACAGGATTTTTAATTTGATGCATTGGTCCAAAATGATTAGGATGTGAAAACAAAGTTTCAGAATGAACCATCCAGCAGCTATCTTACTTCTTTGCTCCCCAAGCAACCACAAATTTTAGCTTAGAGAGCCAGTTTCTAAGAAGAAAAAGAAAAAGATTAGTCCTTAGTGTACCTTCTTATTAACAGCTCCAAGGAATATGTTATACCAACACACATATTTCTCAAACATGTAGTCAACATACATTGAGTTTCATCCTGACCTCAGGAAACCTGCATTAGTTCTTTTTGGGGTTACCATGTCAGCCCCTAGGATAACATTTATCACTGTGGTTTCATTTTTTGTTAGCTCCATTTCCTCTATACTCGAGAGAAAATCTAGTTTTTATTCACATTCCTGGAGCTGAACATAGGAGTGCTACATACAAGGTGCTCAGTGAAGTTTACTGAATAAACAAACGGAGGCTTCTCGGGAGAAAAGGGAAAGCATGAATGGACCCATTAGGTAGAACTCCCGAGAATGCAAGCCAGGAGGCAGAACTCAGTGAGTATAACTTTCAATTCCACTTTCAATTCTTACCTGATGAAAAAGGCATGAAGTAGTCACTCTTCTTAAAGTTTCCACTTTTATCTAAGAAGTGGCCTGGGTCAAACTTCTCTGGGTTAGGAAATTCTTTGTCATCATATAGAACAGAATTCAGAGATGTTATTACAGTTGTTCCCTGGGGGAAAAAAAAAGAAACATAAACTTAGTTATCAGCTGTTATTGGTTACCATTGATTGGGAACCAACCCTAGCTGACCCTCTGGTGGATTTTCAGAGGCAGTAAATCACATGGGAGGAGATTGTCTCGCTCCGATAGAGCAGCAGATGGATTTGATTGCATATCACCGGTTGGCAGAGTAATTCCTTATGACCAAACTACTACTGGTGGCCTGGTGGTAACAAGCTGTACTGCAGTCCCAAAGGTTCTCAACTGTGCTCATGCAAAAGTATCTATCGATCCAGAGGTGGTTATTTGAACAGAACAAAGGAATGCCACATGATTTAACATTGGGAAAAGTGAGTGTCAGAGCTGTATCCTTTCTCCATAACTATTCAGTCTGCATCCAGAGCAAGCAATTGGAGAAGACGGACTATAGGATGAAAAACATGGCTTTAGGATTTTAAACAGCAAGTTCTAAACAGTAAGGATGTCAGTTTAAAGACTATGTTAAGCCTGAACAAAGCCATGGACTTTCTCAATTACTTCCTATGCATCTGAAAGCTGGACAATGAATAAAGAAGACAGAAGAATCAGTTCCTTTGAACTGTGGTGTTGGTGAAGAGTATTGAATATCACACGGATTGCCAAAAGAACAAAGAAATCTGTCTTGGAGGAAGACAGAGTATTCCTTAGAAGCAGGGATTGTAAAACCTCTTCTCATATATGTTGTCAGGAGGGTTCAGCCATTGGAAAAAGACACCACACTGGGAAAACTAGAGGATCAGCAAAGTAGGTGGAGAGTCTCAATTACATGGGCAGACCCAGTGACCATGACAATGGACTTGAGTATGGCAAGATTTCAATTGGTTCAAAAGGGAGCTATGAGATGTTGTTAACTGAACAGCACTTAGCAAGAGCTCTGAAGGGACAGTGGGTTGTGATGTTAATCCAAAGGCTGCTTGTCTCCAGTGGTTTGAATACACCAATGACTCTACAGTAGAAAAATAGGCGATCTCCTCCCCTGACGGCAGTGAGTTGAGAAGATTCCCAAGGAAGAGTGTATGGAATCTCTCACCTTGGGAATGATGTATTCTCGGAATTTAACGTCCTGTGTCACTGCATGTGGTACGTTGGTGGGAACAAGGTCAATGAATCTCTGGATCTCATGCACCACAGCATCTGTGTAGGGCATACTGCTCCTGTCCTTCATGCAGGGACTCCTGTTTCTGCCAACCACCTGTTGAATTTCTTCCTGGACTTTAGCTGCAAGGCAAAAATGAGAGCGTCATCTGAAATGGGAAAGCCTTGAAGTATCTTATTTGTTCTTGTTATTGTTGTTACACTGTGTAGAAAGTTATAACAGGATATTTTGTGTCACTATCACCCTAAGATTCTCACCACTGGGACAATTGGCAGCATCATAATAGATGGAGAAGAGATTGAGATTGTTGACAGCTTCAACTTGCTTGACTCCACAATCAAAACTCTTGGTACCAGCAACCAGGAAATCAAAAGACAAATTGTATTGGGAAAATCTGCTGTTAGGGACATCTCCAGAGTACTAAAGAGCAACGATGTCAGTCTAGAGACTAAAAGACTATGATCCAGACTGTGGTCTTTGCAATTATTTGCTATGTATCAGAAAGCTGGACAATGACTCAGAATGATAGATGAAGAATCGATGATTTTGAGTTGTGGTGCTGGAGAGGGGTATTGAATATATTATGGATTGCTAAGGGAACAAACAGGTCTATCCTAGAGAGGGTGAAACCAGGCTGCTCCTTGGAGGCAAGGATTTTGAAGTTCTGTCTCACATACTTTGGACATGTTGCCAGGAGGGACCAGACCTTGGAAAAGGACATCATGCTTGGAAGGGTGAACAGATAGAGCAAGAGAGGAAGATCCTGGATGAGATTAATGGGTTCAGTGACTAGGGTAGTGGGGTAGGTGTGTCAGAGACAATGAAACTGGCTCAAGATGGAGCAGGGTTCAGAGCCATCGTACATAGGGCCACTATGAATCCCAGGTGACTCGACAGCACATAATAACAACATCAAAGCAAGATAGGTTTCTGGGCAGAAAAAATGGTTTCTACTCAATTACTAACCAGGTAGCCTAGTCCATAGGGAGATGTGCTATTATTCCAGAGGTCATGCCTCTCTGGTGGTTCAGGTCCACCAGCAGCTCCACGGGAGAAAACTCGACAATCTCCTCCTACGTGATTTGAAGCCTTGAGAATTTGCTGGAGGGTCAACTGTGAGACAGTTCTAACTCATTGGCAATGAGTTAGTTAAGACTAACCTAAAGATCTGCAGTTGAAATCCAGCTAATAATGCCCTGGAAGAAAAAATTAGGGGTCTACTTCTGTTGTTGTTGTTGTTGTTATGTGCCGTCGAGTCGCCTGCGACTCATAGCGACCCTATGTACAACAGCCCTAAACTCCGCTCTGTCCTGTGCCAAT